ACTAAGTACTTCTTAATCATTTCCACACTTGACTAAGTACTTCTTAATCATTTTCACTTCACACTAACATAAAAGCATTTTGTATTTGTAGTTTATATTTATGGAAAAGCTACTAAGGCTATTTACCACCATCCCTGATTTTGAACTATTGAACAAAGGAAAGACAGACAGCCAGCTGCACACTACCACCCACCATTCACTATAAGAGGTTGACTGCTACTCTGATAACGTACCTACAGTTCAAAGTGCGTGGAATATTTTGTGGTATGCACGGATTTGAGCCGGACTCACCAGCTCTGAAATCCGGAACCCCACCACAGGACCAACTCACATTCGAAATAAAAGCACTTTGTAATTATCTTATTACATATTAAAATGGCTCGACATGGCCAGGTAGTTAGGGCGCTCGACTCGCAATTTGAGGGTCGCGGATTCGAATCCCCGTCCCACCAAACATGCTCACCCTTTCAGCCGCGGAGATGTTATAATGTGACGGTCAATCCCACTATTCCTTGGTAAAAGAGTAACCCACGAGTTGGCGGTGGATGGTGATGACTAGCTGAATAGATGGCTAAATTAGGGACGGCTTGCGCGGATTGCCCTCGTGTAGCTTTGCGCGAACTTCAAAACAAACATATTAAGATAATAACTACTTGTCAATATCTCATTTCTTGCTAAAATAAAAGCATATCGTATACACTTCATTAGATATTGGAATAAAAAGACTTTTTAAGTACGGAGTCACATATAAAAAAAGGCCTGCACTTCCAGAACATCCCACTCCATACTAAAATAAAACCACTTCATGCGGAAGTTATTACCTACACACTTGAATAAGATTACACTCATATACCTCACGACCCACTAGAATAAAATAACTTCTACACATTGCACTACGTGCTACAATGAAAACACTTTCTGCGTATTCCACTATATACTAGAAAACACTTTTCTTTTGTATCTACTACATAGTAAAACGATAGCACTTTGTACGTATCATTATTTACTAAGTCAAAACACTTCGTGTATAGCTCTAACTTTGTTTGTTTTGAAGTTAAGCACAAAGCTACACAATGGGCTATCTGAGTTCTGCCCACAATGGGTACCGAAACCCGGTTTCTAGCGTTGTAAGCCCGCAGACATATCGCTGTGCCACTGGGGGCATATCTCTAAATCAAAGCACTTCGTGTATATCTCGAAATATAAGTGCTTTGAATAGACCTCACTTTCATTATTTGTCGTCACCTGGTACTGTTGGTAAAATATATATAAAAAAGAAATGAATAGATGGCCCAAGAACAAAACCAAAACCAACGCGAATCCACAATAAAAAAAAACAACAACATAAACCTGCACATTCTTGGTATACTAATAACATAGTCTCATGGTTGTACGTGAAATTGGTTGTATAAGCAGTAACACTTAACCAACATGTAATAGACAATAAACTGAAACAAACTGTTTAAAGAGGTGGTAAATTAAAACGTCGTGGAAGAAGTTTGGAAAATCTTTAGCTCGTAAAAGAATATCTATCATCTGTTATTTGGCCAGTTGTGTTCCTGCTTACAAATAACTTCATCTTTTGTTAGTTTTTAGCACAAATCTTACTATAATGGCCGTAGCGTGTATGTCAGTATCTATGCATGTAATCAAAACTCCCTCGCCATCTACTGAATGGTACCACAAACAAAAATCCATAAAAATTTCACACTTTGGGTATTTAAGATTCAGACAATTAGAAAAATAATTGTGGTATGTGCAACAACTATTTATTTATAACAGAACACAATTTTAAACAAAAATACTCTCCTCACAAGAAGAACACGACTTTCACTAGAACTGTACGTGAGGGTTTGATTATATCTTTGTTGATGTAAATTTTAAATGTAGTACTGAGGAACTGAAGTTCTTAAAAAAAACTATTATTTTTTCAATAAGCGGTACCACTTTTAATATATAAAAACATTACAGTTTATATGAATAAAATTTATGAGTTCTGTACATTGAATCATTTTGATGCAATGAGTTGCATATGACTAAAGAGCACAACGGAACAGTTATCCCGTGCAGCACTTCCCAGAAAAGAAGCCTTTTTTTTAGAAAATGTTCACTATTTGATTTTTTTTTTCATTGAGGTATGTATACTACGATGAGTAATTACTAGCACAAACAGCCGCCCATAAGGCGGCGTCTCTACTAGTATAAACAATGGGTTATTCTGCGCTTTATTCACTGCGGGGAATCGAACCCCCGGATATTAGCTGACCCATCGGAGGACAAGTAACTTGAATT